AGGCATAACACACATAAAAATAAAAAGTGCCGGGCATGGTGGCACACGCCTTTAATCTCAGCACTCGGGAGGCAGAGGCAGGCAGAGCTCTGTGAGTTCAAGGCCAGCCTGGTCTACATAGTGAGTTCCAGGACAGCTGGGGCTACAGGGAGACCCTGTCTCACAAGACCAAAAAAAAAAAGTAAATAAGTTAAAAATAAAATGAAAAGGAAGAGGAGGAAGAGGGAGAGGAGATCTGAACATGACAGGACTGCTACACTCATGAACTCACAGCAGCTGTGGTCATGTGCACACAATCAAGCCAGTTAACATTCCGGCATGCAGAGGGGAGAGGCTCATGAACCCACTCTTAGGGCAACTTTTTTATTTTTTAATTTTATTTTATGTGTAAGCATGTAATGCCTGCATGTAGGTAAGTGTACCCATGTTGTACAATGCCTGCGGATGTCAGAAGATGCTGCCAGATCCCCTGGGACTGGAGTTATGGACAGTTGTTAGCTGCCATGTGGGTGCTGGGATTTGAACCCAGGTCTTCTGCAAGAACAGCCAGTGTTCTTAACTGCTGAGCCATCTCTCCAGCCCCTAGGGCAACTTCTGGGAGTTAGTTCTCTCCTACCATGTGGGTTCTGGGGATTGAACTCAGGTTGTCAGGCTTGATAGCAAGGCTTTCCTTACCTGATGAACTATCTTACCAGCCCCAAGATCCTTTTATTAATTTTTGAGTCAACCAGTCTGAAACTGGACTTGCTCTGTAGCCCAAGAAGTCCTTGAACTTGTGATCCTCTTGCCTCAGCCTCTCAAGTATTTGAGATTGTAGGCTTGTGACACCAAGCCCAATGTTTTTCTTATCTATTTTTTTCTTTTTTGAGACAGGGTCCTCACTAAGTATACTATGTAGCCCTGGCTGGCCTGGAATTTGCTATGCAGATCAGGCTGGCCTGTAATTCACAAGAATCTGCCTGCCTGTGCCTCTCAAGTGCTGGGCTTACAGGCATGCGCCACCACACCCTTCCTGTCTATATATCTGTCTCTTTCTTTCCTTTTTTCTCCTTTGAGACAAAGTCTCACTTATGTAGTCCCAGCTAGCCTCAGTTTCTCCAGTGTTGGGATTAGAGGCATGCAGATTTATAAACAATTAAATAATGTATTTTCCACTTCACAGAAGTGTTTTATTTTACTATTGAACATGGGGCATTTTTAGGTTGTTTCATTTTTAGATTTTGTTACTTATTTCTAAAGTACTGGATTTTGACTGATCCAGGACATTAATATATTATTTAAATCTTGAGGGGTGTAAGTGGGCAGGTTGAAGTAAAACATTTATTTAATAAAATTGCCTGTGGGGGAGCTGGAGAGATGACTCAGTGGTTAAGAGCACTGACTGCTCTTGCAGAGGACCAGGGTTCAAGTTCCTAGCATGCACATGGAGACCAACAACCTTCTGTAACTCCAGTCCCAGGGGATCAGGTGCCTTCTTCTGACCTGCTTAGGCTCTGCAGGACACAGGTGCACTTAACACACATTCATACACATACACATAAAAAATAAAATATTAGGGGTCGGGCATGGTGGTGCACGCATTCAATCCCAGCACTTGGGAGGCAGAGGCAGGTGGATCCCTGTGAGTTCAAGGCCAGCCTGGTCTACACAGTGAGTTCCAGGTCAGCTGGGGCTACAGGGAGACCCTGTCTCAAAAAGACAAAAATAAATAAATAAATATAAATAAATAAATAAATAAATAAATAAACAAATAAATTGTCTGTGGGGATAGAGGATCTTAGTATGCAGCCTAGGCTAGCTTCAAAAGTGATCCCCCTGTCTCAGCTTCATTAGTAATGGGATACAACCATGCACCATCATGCCCTGCTCCTAAAATAGATTCTTATGAATCTATTAGAGCCTATCAAATTGATTTTGTTTTAAATCTGTGTGTGTGTGTGTGTGTGTGCGGTGTGCACACATGCAATTGTGAGTGTCACAGCAGGTATGTGAAGGTCTGAGTTCTCTCCTTTTACCAAGTGGGTCCCAGGGATTCAACTCAGGTGGTCATTCTTGGTGACAAGCATTGTTATCTGATGAGCCATCTCGCCAGCCCGGTTTGTTTGCAAGGATACTGGATGACACCATTAAACTGCTCTTCTGAGAAGATTAGAGCGACCTTCTCTGGTATCAGTAGACTGCTTAATGGTCTACTTAATGGTCTACCATGGTCCTCCCAACTTTCAAAAAACTATATTTATTATTATGTGTATGTGTGTGTTGCCTGCATGTAGTAAGAGCACCCATGTTGTGCAATGCCCGCAGAGGTCAGAAGAGGCTGTCAGATCCCCTGGAACTGGAGTTATGGACCGTTGTTAGCTGTCATGTGGGTGCTGGGATTCGAACCCTGTTCTTCAGCAAGAACAACCAGTGTTCTTAACTGCTGAGCCATCTCTTCAGCCTGGTCCTCCCAACTTTTAAAAAAAATTATCATTTTTTAAATTTTTTTATTTTTTTGTCTTTTTGAAATAGGATCTCCCTGTAGCCCCAGCTGTCCTTGAACTCACTATGTAGACCAGGCTGGTCTTGAATTCACAGAGATCTGCCTGCCTCTGCCTCCTGAGTGCTGAGGTTAAAGGCGTGGTCACGCCTGGCCTAAAAAATTATTTTTATTACCGTTTATATGGTGTGTGAGTTTGGGTCAGAATGCACCACTGCACACGTATGGCAGTCAGAGAACAACTTTCAGGGGTTGGTTCTGTGGATTGAACTTAGGTGTCAGGCTCCTACCTACAAGCACTTTTACCTGCCATGTCATTGGCCCCAATTTTTCATTGGCTGTTAATGTGAGCAGTGAAATGTGGTAACTGATGTAAAGTGCTTTTCCTTTCTCATCAGACAGGTAGATCATGGGGTTGACTTCCACTGGATATTACTCCCCAGAATGCTTAATTCCAGACACAGTGGCTGGGTGAGGCAGGGCTGGAATTCCTCAGGCCCTGGGAGGTGTTCTGTGGGTTTGGTCGAGGGTTGGTGGGGGGCAGACACTATGCTCCACTTTCAACTGTAAGGCGTCCCAGCTGGCCCCTCCCATTGGAGGCCAGACCAGGTCAGTCTGCAGCAGGCCAGTTCCGTGCCTCTGATACTGGGGGTGCTTTCTTGTACTCCTCTGAGCAAGAGGTGTCTGGAAGAGAGGGAGCTCATTCAAACCAAAGCTGTTTTCCTGGATCCACTGGGTGATGATAAATAAAGGTTTGGTTTTCTTTCCTGTTACAGCTGTTCTTACATGATAGGTTTTTAGCTCGTGTATTTCGGAGATAAAGCCCTCACTGGTGCGGCCTCTATGGCTCCAAGCATCCCAGGCATCCCAGGATGTGTGCCATAGCAGGAGCTCCCAGAGCATCCTTTTCATGCTATACCCCAAATTCCTGGGGGCAGGTGCTGCAAAGAGCCCTTGCATTTCAAGGTGACTTCTTGCCCCCCTGAGGTTTTGAGGTTGGAAGGCTACTGACTGAATGGTGAGGCCTGCTTCAGCCTGCAACCGGGCTCCTAGCTCTTTCCAACTCGCCCCACAGCCAGTGTGCTGCCATGGGCTTCAGGTCTTAGGGCCCTGTTAGGTCCTAAGAGACACCTGGGTACAAGAAGCACAGTATTGTATCTGTTTTTGTTCGAGCTGTATACGCAGAAAAACTAGAAAAAATGAGACTACATTGGATTGGCACAATAGGGAATCAACTAATTTCCAGTCTTGAGCCAGTTTACAGACTCAGAATCCCTGGAATGAAGGGAAGGCAGGGAACCTTGTTAGAACATGGAAGAGCTTTACCGTTAGCTTTTCTCCCATCCTTTTCCAGAGACCTATGGCCTTTTGCCAGAGTAATTGTACTTTCGGGGAAAGGAGATAATCAGAATTTCCAGAGCTTATTGGCTACTGGTTCTCAATTGACAGTGATTTGGGAGATCCCCCAAAAGCATTGTAGGTAGCCCTTAAGCTTGTGGATATCAGGTGATTAAAGGAGTTTTGGCTGAGGTCCAACTTCGAGTGGGTCCCTGAACTCAACCTGTGGTTATCGCCCCATTCTTAGACTGTACAATTAGGACAGCTACTTAGAAGTTGGCAAAATTCCCAACACCGCTGTCTGGACCATGTGGGGCCCAGGCAATCAGCACCAAGCTAAGCGCCTGTTAGAAGGTGGTACTGAGGAGGATGTAGGAACGGCCAGATTCCTCAAGCTAGGATTCAGGAAGCCCCAGCCGGCTGAGTCCGAGGAATTCGGAGCACACTGAGGTCCGATGGTCCAGGCCGTCCTGCAGCCCCGGCCACCCAGGACCAGGTTCGTCACCCCGCGGGCCCCGGGGCCTCCGCCGCCCCCCACATTCCACAGGCCGCAGTGCCGTCTCCTTCCTCGCATTCCTGCCGGGGCAAAGGAGTCCCTCCGCCCCCCGCGCGGCCGCCAGGAGGGGGCGCGGCCCCGAGCCTCCGCGCGCGCATTCCTCCGCCGCGCGCT